ATCAACAAAAAGAAAAAATTTAAATAGGCAAAGACCTGGCCAAACATCTCTCAAAAGATATATATATGAAAAAATGTTCAACATCATTAGTTATCAGGAAATTGAGACACTATTTCACACCAACCAAAATGAATCCACTCCTGCCCAAAAAACAAGTTTACAAAACAAAATGTTAGCAAAGATGTGAAGTAATTAGAACTCATATTCATACCAGTAGTATATAAAATGATTTAACCACCTTGGAAAATCTTTCCTCATAAAGTTAAAATATATCTAATCCTATGACCCAGTGACCTTCATTTCTGGGTATTTAAATAAAGGAAATGAAGAAAGATGTCCACAAAAAGACTTGTAGAGAAATATTCACAGCAGTTTCATTCATAACAACCAAAAACTAAACATCCATCATCAGTTGTATGGGTCAATACATCATGATATATTCATTCAACGGAATACTAAGTAATAAAAAGAAACAAACTACTGACATACTTAACATGAATGTATCTCAAAAACAACATTCTGAGAAGAAAATAAAGCCCAAGAACACTCCCAGCTATAAGACTCATTTTAAAACTACAGAAATTGTGACACTAGTGTCAAGACAGACAAACATAGAATGGAATATAAGGTCAAGAAACAAACTCACACATGTACAGACCCTTGGTTTATAATAAAGGTGACACTTTAGAGCAATGTGACCAGGGTCATCTTTTTGATAAATTACGCCAGGTTAATTAGGTATCCATTTGGGAGGGAGGGGAAGAGCCTTGGCTCCTATCTCATTTTTTTAAAAGCAATTCCTGATCAATTGTCAATCTAAATATGGTAGAGAAATCAACAGAACTTGTAGGAAACAACATAAAAGAATATGCTATGCTCTAGATTGACAAAAACGTCTTAAAAGGAATATAAAAAGCATTACCTATAAAGAAAATGATTAATGACACTGGACTGCACTGAAATTAAAACATTCCATTCAAAAGACACTATGGTATAAAAAAGCAAACCCCAAGAGAAGCAGAACATATCTTTATATTACACAGAAGGGACAGTGTGCATGTAGCCAGAATATTGAGACTTCTACAAATCGACAAGAAAAAGACAATCTGATAGAAAGACGGGTAAGAGACATGAATATACATTTCATAAAAGGGAATATACAAATGGCCGACAGATACATGAAACATTCAACCACATTTATTATCAGTGAACAGCAAATTCAAACTACAAAGCAAATTATCACTACAAGCAGAGTATAATGACTTAAAAGACTGACAATATCAGGGCACCTGGGTGGCTCAGTGGTTGAGCATCTGCCTTTGGCTCAGGTTGTGATCCCAGGGTCCAGGGATCGAGTCCAGTATCAGGCTCCCTACAGGGAGCCTGCTTCTCCCTCTGCCTGTGTCTCTGCCTCTCTGTGTCTCAAAGAAAGAAAGAAAGAAAGAAAGAAAGAAAGAAAGAAAGAAAGAAAGAAAGAAAGAAAGAAAGACTGGTAATACCAAGTATTAATAAGTATGTGAAGAGTGGAACTCCCACCCACTATTGATAGGAATATAAGGTGGCATATCTACTTTGGAAAAGTCTTTAGTGATACCTGCTAGGACTGGATGTTCCAATCATAGGTATTCATCCAACAGACAAATGTACCAAAGATATTAATGAAATAGCCCCAATCTGGATACAACTTAAATATCCACTAACAGAACAGCTAAAATATGATATATTCAAACAATGGAATTCCATCCAGCAATGAAAATGAACACACTATTTTTACACATAATAAAAAAAAATGTTGACTGAAAGAAGCCAGACATACATACTGATTCCATCTGTATAAGGTTAAAATCAGGTAAAACTCATCTACGGCGTTAGAAGTAAGCAAACGGTTACAAAGGTAGTGAATGGAAGGAGCACAAGGTGGGCTTCCAGATGCTGGTAATTGTTCTATTTCCTGATCTAAGAGTGGTTACGTGAGTATGTTCACTTTGTGAAAATTTACTGAGCCAACCTCTCAAACTGCCCACTCCTAGCTCCTTGCATTCTACCCACACTAGCCTTCTTTCAAAAATGGTACACTTGTTCCCCTCTCAGGACCTCTGCATGCCTGCTGCCCAGGACAAATTCAGGAGCACTGGCTCCTTCTCACCCTCCAGGTTCTGGCTCTTTCAAGAAGCCTTCCTTGACCAAAGGCCTCAGCCGTCCCCTATAATCACTCCCCTCCCCTACTGCTAGTCTCAACTGTCATACTGCTGTCAGAAATTAATCTCGTATATAAATTTACACACTTGTTTATTATATGCTCCTTCCCCTAGAGATTTTTGCACCTGGGAGTCACACACTTTGTCTGTTATGTTCAGTGCTGCAACCCCAGGCCTGAGAGCACTGCCTGACGGACAGTGCACATCTAACAACTATCTGTTGGGTGAGTGAATGTCATGAATGCACTAAGCAATATTTTCTGCTGTGGGATACCTCAAGACACAGGCTTGGAAAGGAAAAAAATGAGAGGGGAAGAGAACAAGAAAAATATACAGATTCAAGCAAAGCATAATACTACCTCTGGTGCCACTCAAAGCATAAAGCAGATTAGACTCCTACCTTGATGGAGGTGATCTAATAAAGCCTGGGAAAGCCTGGGAGCGATCCAGGCATTTCCCCATGCCAGTTCTATAAGAAACACTGCAAAACATGGAAGGTCTAGTGCCTCAAACTAAGAACCTGCCTTCAGGAAGGTACTGACCTAAGCATAAATGACTTATTTTAGGACTGATTTTAATTTAATGACTTCGATTAATGACTGATTTTTTTTAAAAGATTGTATTTATTTATTCATGAGAGACAAAGAGAGAAAGAGACAGAGAGAGAGAGAGACAGAGAGAGAGGCAGAGACACAGGCAGAGGGAGAAGCAGGCTCCATGCAGGAGCTAATGCGGAACTTGATCCGGGGACTGCAGGATCACAACCCTGGGCCGAAGGCAGACACTTAACCACTGAGCCACCCAGGTGTCCCAATTAATGACTGATTTTAATGCTTCAGTTATATAAGGAAGTCATTCTTGCACCTCAGTTCTTACAGAAAAATACTTTAAAAATTATAATATGGACTCATACTCAAAGAAATATCCTGAATTTTCTAGCTTAAGTATCTATAAATGAAAAAAAAAAAGAGGCACTTTTCTTCAATCTAGAGTACCTTTGCCTCATAACCTAATTTCTTCTGTTATTTTGAGATGTGGCAGAGAGAGGAGGCATAGTAGAGAAGGAGGAGGGAGGAGTGTGCAGGCATGTTGTGGGAGGGCTGTGGTATCTGACCCCCTAGGAAAATGAGGTGCAATTCTCAGCTACTTCTCCTCACCTTGTGAGCTGCACCTAGCAGAGTGCCCGGTGCAAGGTGAGTATTCAATAGGTATCTAATAGATGAACATTCTTCCCAATAATGGTTTTAAGAGATTGATGGAACATATTAAATAACTAGGCTTAGTAGTGTCTTGGTTTCTCTTTCCTAATCCTTAAGGCCATTTATTTAACTTTAGTGAGTAATTAGTACAAGTGGCTGGCAGATACACTGCACCAAGCTCCATGCTATAGGCACACATAAAGCAAAACAGAAGAAACCACTGACTGAGAATCTGACAAAGAATAAATCTCTAAAGGAACAGAATTACTTTATTTGTATCTCATAGGCCAACCCTAGGAACCTCTGTCTTCTTAATGATCCTGTTCTTGGGTATTTTTTTCCTGTGAATTCATTACACTTGTGTTTCAGTCTTTGAAGTGAAGGTATAAATTCACATTTCCAGCACTGTTTTCTTATTTCCTCCCCCACCAAAGCCCCCCAGGCTGGGAACTAAAGTAATTCCTCAGCAGGATTCCTCAAATCCTTTTAACCATTTCAGATGCTTACGGCTTACTTAAAGCTCCGTTCTGTGGAAGTCACAATCATTTGTTTCTCACCAACAGAAAATTATTTCAATGGGAAAAGAATTATATATAAAAGAATGCTATTCAAAATACAGCCATTGCAGGCAGCCCGCAGCCCGGGGGGGCTCAGCGGTTTAGCGCCGCCTTCAGCCCAGGGCGTGATCCTGGAGACCCGGGATCGAGTCCCACGTCGGGCTCCCTGCATGCAGCCTGCTTCTCCCTCTGCCTGTGTCTCTGCCTCTCTCTCTCTCTGTCTCATGAATAAATAATAAAAATATTAAAACAAAACAAAAAAAATACTGCCATTGCAGCATAAAAGGAAAAGAAAGAAAATTTCTAAGATATAATTGATAACATTTTAGAGCTGGACCTAAATCAGCTAGTGTTAATTTCATCTCCTCATTTTATTAATGGATAAACCAACTGTAATTTCTAAAATTTTATAGGGAAATCAGAAAGGTTTGTTCTCTTATGATTTTAATCTCCACCTTATGGGCTTGGAAGGAAGGAAGGAAGGAAGGAAGGAAGGAAGGAAGGAAGGAAGGAAGGAATTTATAAGTAGTCTTCCAAATAAAGGTCATAAAGCCATTCAGTGGCATGGCCAGGACTAAAACCCAGTTCTTTTTTTCTTCCTTGGTAACTCATAAGCTGCAGCTACTTGAGCAGTTTAGTTAGTTGTCAGGAAAGCAGCAATGTCACCAAAATCACTGACTGACCTTAGTTGTGGTTTCTTTTCATTCTGCTTTTAGACACGCAAACAAAAGAAAAGAATGAAAAGTGTCAAGTAGGATGACATAAGAAAATTGCACTGTAGCCAGATCACACATAGAAGATGACAGAAAAAAGGTAGGCAGAGATGGCTCTGTGATTTTCTTCTCTCACCTGATCTAAGAGATAAAAAAGGTACAAAGTTAGAATGCATTAGCTGTCAAATCAACAATATTCCATTAGAGGCACAGACTTCTCTCACAATGCAGCCATTTTATAACCACAGGCCTGACACAGTCCACAACCAGAGAACAAGAGGTAGAAATGATCAGAAGGCGGATGTAATACAGTAACGGAGACCATATACTTACTCTTCCAAGAAGTGCTGCTGGGGTCCTATAATGGAGCCTGGTCGGCATATTCTGATCCAAGCAATTATTTCAGCATGTGTAAACCTGTAGTGTTTCATGACATAACAGGCAATCAACGTCCCTGTTCTTCCAAGACCAGCTGCAAGAAAAGGAAATAGACCAAGAAATACAAAATATAGCAAATGCACCCACAAAAATACTGAAATCCAACCCTGCCCAGAAACCGCAATGGTTTCAAGTATAATGCAAATGTTTTAAACCCAGAAAATAGGAGCCCCTGGGGGGCTCAGCAGTTGAGCATCTACTTTGGCTCAGGTCATGATCCCGGGGTCTTGGGATGGAGTTCCACATCAGGCTCCCCACAGGGAGCCTGCTTCTCCCTCTGCCTATGGCTCTGCCTCTCTCTCTCTCTCTGTGCTCATGAATAAATAAATATTTTGTAAAATAAATAAACAAATAAACAAAACCAGGCAATAATGTAATGCTTTTTACATAATGTGGGATTAAAAGATGATTCTAACTCAATAAATCTTCTAAAAACAGATCATAAAATTAAAATAAGACTATATAATAAAATATAAAAATCACAGCAAGGGTCTTGAAAAATTACTAAGTTCAACCCGTGGGGGCCTTTGGGAATGCCTGTCATTATAAATGTTGTCAGGACAATGCGGGTTCCATGACAATCACTTACAAAATATCACCTGTCAGGTGTCTCCACCCTCTCCATCCTTGACCCCAGCCGAGGCTGAGATGAATCCACAGTTAACAGTTTGTCTGTGTGACCCCTAAGTCAGCAGTATAACTGATTTTATTATATGGCCAATTTTTTAGTTTATTTAAATGGTTCAGGTTTTTTTCCTAACTTATTTTAGAATAAGGAATCATAGAATCAAAGTTTGAAGATGCCATAGATGTCATCAAGCCTCATCAACTACCTCAAGTGTGTCAATACTATCTGTGTCAGATGGTCATCCCAACCTCCATTTCACTCCCTCAGAGACCAGGATTTCAGGATTTCCTCAGTTAGGAGGTATTGATGGAGCACCTACGACCTGCCAGGTACTGTGCTAGGAGCTGAAGGCACAGTGACAAATAAAAGAAACATTGTCCCTGCCCTTGGGAGAGCACACAGTCCACTGAGGAAGAACAAAGCAAACAGAAGTGCTCAAATTTCACTTCTCTGGGCTCCTGCATTTTCTAATAACTTCTGTGTTAGCTTATTTTCCTTCTGTTAAATGCACTGTGTGTTGCATAAGATTAAGTAATACAATTAGAAATGACTTTCAAAACAAATGACTTTCAATGAAATACTGGTTATTATTGTGAACTCTGATTTCTTCAAAGTGCTTTTTACCAGTTGCTGTATTTTTTTCCTCTCTCCAAAGAAATAAAAGTGATAGAACTTGATTTACATTTTAGCCAATCTTTTTTAAAAAATACATGCTGACTTCCTCCTTTTGCAAAAATATTCAAACACTTCATCAAGCTACAGGCTCTCAACAGTAGTGGTTGTTCATACATCAGAACAACTGAGGCCCAAAGATACCAGCCAATTGGCTCATATAACAAGAGAGTAGGGAATTCAGGACTAAAACTCCCCTATGATCTTGATTCTCATCCCAGAATTCTTTCCACTCTTGGCTCACATCCTGTCACTCATCTTATAGGTACCGACTTGTGTGGAAGGCACCGTGAAAGATCTGGAAACAGAAACATGAAGACAAGCAGGATGCCTGCCCTCATGATATATATAAGACTGACTGAAACAATAGTGTTCATTTACAAGCATTTTCTAAGTCTTTCCATATCTAGCTTCTTGGAATTATATTCAGTACCGTAAATTTTTATTTAAGTATCATCCACAACCAAGGCAGTATGCAGAGTTGTTTTTCCACTACTAAAAATCTGTTTGTATCATATACACTTTTTCTAATAGAAGAATAAAGTGGCTCTGGGGATGCCTGGATGGCTCAGTCAGTTGAGTGTCCAGCTTTTGGTTTCAGCTCAGGTCATGACCTCATGTGTCATGGGACTGAGCCCCATCTTAGGCTCTGCACTCAGCAGGAGTCTGCTTGAAGATTCTCTCCCTCTGCCCCTCTGCCCACTCACACTCACTCTCTCTCAAGTAAATAAATAAATCTTTAAAAAAAAAAAAAGAAATAAAAAGAAAGCTCTAATTGTTTTTATAAACATTAAATTTAGGCAGTCAAATGTTTATTCAAGATGCCCAGGACAAGGTTCTGCTCATAGAATAAGGATATAAGCAAGTATAGGATATAATTTTTGACCAGGATGAGTATCAGAGTAGTTGCTGACTATCAAGCAAGAAACAATAAGAAAGAAATGAAGTTTGAACTGAAACTGGGTTTTCAGATAAAGGGGGAGGGGAGCATTCTGTGAGCTGCTAGTGTCTTCAAAGAATAGGTCATTGTTGACACAGACTTTAACAGACTAGAAGAATAGGAAGGTCATAATATTTTCAGCATAGGGTGTGATGGATGACAGCCTGGCTGGAGAATGTATCAGTGTGTGTCAAGTGCCCTGTGTATATAATATGAATTACTATCTCCTATGTATATAATATGTATTATTATTCCTCAAATATTTGTAGATGATGCTTTGATGAACAAAATTCAACTCATGTTAAAAGTATTACAGAATTCAAGGGGCGCCTGGGTGGTTCAGGGCTTGAGCCTCTGCCTTCGGGTCAGGGCATGATCCCAGGGTCCTCTACCTGCCTGGTTCTCCCTCTGCCTATGTCTCTGCCTCTATGTCTCTCTTGAATAAATAAATAAATAAATAAATAAATAAATAAATAAATAAATAAATAAATAAATAAAATCTTAAAAAAATAGTATTACAGAATTCATGATATTATCAACAGCTAATAAAAATACAACTGCTATCATGTAAAAAAAAATCTGTATTTTTGCCTTTAACCAATGGAAAGGACAAAATAAAGCTGCCATGTATGTATTTGGGGGCAAGAAAGTGCAGTGATAAAAGCAGATGGATCTAGCAGCAGCACATGGACTATGCTGAAAAGCACAGAGGCAGGAGCTAGGAAGCTGCTGGGAGGCTGGGACCAGAGGGCGAGGTGGGCTGGATGCACGGTGGTGATAAAAAGGAGGAGCTGAGTAAGAAAGACATTTGGACTGGGTCACAGAGAGAGTCAAAGATACTGATATTTCTGGCCAGGAAAACTGGTACAAGGTCAATTTCGTCTGTGAAAACATTTAGTTAGAAAAGGAAACGGGAAAGTTGACAGTACTGTTTTTAATATGTTTAAGAATCTTTCCCCCAAAAGGCGGAGCCCCTTTGTCAACTTTCCCTGGTCAAATAATAAAGAGTATCTGCTCTAACCTCTTCAGTACTTTGAAATACAGTGCCTCAGCAAATCTAAGATACTATCAAGTCACCTAACGGTGTGAAATGCACCATTATTTAAGCTCCACCTAAGTAAGAAAAAATTAAACTATGACATTCTACCAATTTTCAGATCCACCCTAGATCCATAAATGTGAAAGTGTGAAAAACCTGTCTCTAAATCAGTGTTTCTCAATCTTTTTTTCATTATTGCCTCCTCCAAGAGTCTAAGACACTTTTCCTGATCGTCTCCCATGTAATTTTACTGCTACAGTATACTGCATACCTCTACATACTGTATGTAAATCTGTGCTTTATACAAAAAAAGAATGGTTCCTCCCCCTCCTCCTCCTCTCTCCCAAAAAACAATTCTTCCTCCTTGGAGGCAATAATGCCAGATTGAAAATACATATCAAAAATGCAAGTGAGGGGCACCTGGCTGGCTCCATCAGAGGAATATGTGACTCTTGATGTCGGGATTATGAGTTCGAGCCCCACACTAGGTATACCTCTATAGATTAGTATAGAAGTATACCACTACCTCTATAGAGATTACTTAAAACCTTTGTTTAAAAAAAATGCAAATAAAATTACAAACAAGCTCATGTTTACAGACGCTTGATATTCCCTTCCCATTGAGCCTTCTTTTTAAAAAATTATATTTACAATGTTTTATTAAATGAGGGGTATGTGTATGTGTGTATGTAGCCTGATTTCATCTAAAGTACCTTTTGCCCCAGACCAAACGTCAACATTCCCTAGAAAAGAGTAAATTTTAATTATAGTCTCAATGGGGCTCTTCCTTTAATATTAGAGTTTAAGAGTAATTTGCCTTTCTGTTTCTGTCCAGAGCAGATATTCTCTGCCTCTGCAGAGTTGTTAACTCTCAGACATCTGACAAGACTACAGGTAATCAAATGGATAAAGCACAGCGGGAAAGCCTGAAGTAGGAATCCTTCTAGTAACCAGGGCACAGTGAGTTTCCAAAGTCCCTCCAAGAAGTCACCAATGTGGGTGTCTGTCTGGAGAGGAGATAGTCTTTCTGGAGGCAACATTACCTCTCACTGTTCCCTCCCTGTGCAAGGAAGGGGCTGTCCCATTCCCTCGGTTGGGCACCTACTCACACACACTCACAACCAAAAAAGGTGGTGCAGAAAATTTTCAAATTTCTCTGAAACTAAAGTTGCTTCCCCCTTTTAAAAAGAGTCTATAATTTAGATCTATAAAAAGAACGTACTTAGCACTCAATAGTTAGGAGCTCTTACCACAATTCAACAGAATAAGAACATTTCACTAAGTTTCTATAAAAACTTTAACAAATTTCTTAAAGCATTCATAATTAAAGGGCTCCCTGACACAGCAAGACAAGATGTTGAAAAGTATTCTATTTATACCAAGTTAAATGCTGATTCCCTTATAGTTCGGGGCATTTTCTGAAATCCTATAGAATATCAACGGTCACATACCAGAACATCATAGTGCTCCCATTTTTTAAAAATTATTATTTGTGCTAGGAAATTTTCAAAAGCTCATAGCCATCCATTTTATCAACCAGAAGGTGGACTATAGGTACTGGATCATTGGTAAGATTTCACACATTCCCAGTAAATCAATTTCTAGTTTGTCTGTCTATATAGCACTTTACGTGGAGGCATGACATATTCATTCCCTTTCTAGCAGCTACTGAAGTTCATGTGACATAGAATAAGATTCTCTCTCCCTCCTCCTTCTACTTCAGTTAAAATGCTCAGTGCTGCTTCAATTCCCAGAAAACTAAACTGACTTAATTAGGGCAGATGTCAAAATAATTAACAGGCCTATAGTAGATAAGTATGCTATTAAAAGCAATACAGCTGTAATTAAACCGAAGGTGTAATCTTTAGAAAGGAGTCCTACATGTGTGTACAAGTGGAAGCAAATGAAATAACATTACCCAAAAGATGTCACCACATGTAAATGTGACCTTCCCATACAAGAACGCACCTCAGTGCTAAGAGTTCTGATTTTAAATTAAAATATATAAACCTCTGCAGCATAAAATACACACACATACACAACACACACATATACACAACTTACACACCCATACTGTATTTTTTTAAATGTTAACATTCACAAGTCTAGGATATAATACAGAGAATACCTGTAATAAGAATGTTGAACATCAGAGAGTTTCATTTTTATAATTTTAGTTAGATGAGAAATGTTATCAAGAGAGATGCTGATACCCAAAGGAAAATGAAAACACTGATTCAAAAAGATATATGCACTTCTGTTTCTTGTAGCATTATTTACAATAGCCAAGACATGGAAGCAGCCTAAACATCATCAATAGGTGAATGGATAAGGAAGATGTCTCTCTCTCTCTCTCTCTCTTTCTCTCTCTCTCTCTCTCCCTCTCTCTCTATATATACACACATATATATCTACATATATACACACAGGCAATGTAATATTACTCAGCCATTAAAAAGAATGAGGTTTTGCCATTTGCAACAATATGGATGGACCTGGAGAGTATTATGCTAAGTGAAATAAGTCAGATGGAAAGACAAATAACGTACAATTTCAATTATATGTGGAATCCAAATACAAAACAAACAAAAAAGCAGAAACAGATCTGCAAATACAGAAGCAAAGGGGAATGAAGGGAGGGGCAAAGTGGGTGAAGGGGAGTGGGAGGCACAAGCTTCCAGTTATGGAATGAATAAGTCACAGGGATGAAAGGTCCAGCACATGGAATATAGTCAATGGTATTGTAATAGTGTTGTGTGGTAAGAGATGGTAGCTACATGTATGGTGAGCACAGCATAATGTATAAAGTGTCCAATCACTATATTGTATGCCTGAAACTAATATAACACTGAATCAACTATACTTCAATTTAAAAAGTAGAGAAAGATACTGAGTTTTAAAGACAGTTTTGCATTTCTTCTTCCATGACTTTGTCAGTCCAAAACATGACACACAGATAAAAAGCTCTATGACTTGGTAATCATAAAATTAATTGACTAGGAAATAAGGCCAAATTCATCTGAGGAAAAGTGCTAAATTTTATGACACAAAAATAAACTTTGAGAAAGAACACATAAATATCTCCTACTGAATGTTGGTAGCTGCTCTATTCCCATTAGCTCTCAAGTTCCACTGATATTTGAAACGTGTGAAATGCAGGCTTTTTCTCGGGCCTGGGCAATCTTTAACAGAATGAGCTGGAAAGGCAAAGTTAGAGTGCAAATGGGCCACATCCAGGGCTAGCGGGCTCTCCACTCCCCCACTGTGACCCGATTAGAACTGAAAGCACTCTGCCATGATGAGAGAACAAGACACCTTCCCAGCAGACCCCCCATCCCCACCCCATCGGAGAGACGGGACGTCCTACAGGTCAGCGCCCCATCCTGCTAAGAAGTGGGAAGAGGACGGGCAGAGGCTCTGTGGATGTGGGTGAGAAGCCTGACTCAAGGAGCCCTCAGCCAAAAGGGGGCCGCATGCGGCACATTTCCATCTCTCTGGGTCTCTGGCAAAACACAGCTTCCCGTTGCCGCTCACATGTCAGCCAAGTACCTCCACCTACTCAAATCTTAAACATAGAAACAAAGGCCTACAAAATGGTATTTTAATTTCTGTCAGAACCAAAGCCATGCTTGTCTGAATAAGTCAGTTACAGCAGCACTAGGCACTTGAAAAGAACAGCACAATCCCCAACACCTACTAGACAATTAGCATAAACGCCACACAAACTGGTTCTCAGGCTCACAGTCGTGAGAGCAGCACCACCCAGCGGCCTTCTGAACCGCTGCATGTGAGGAACTAGACTCCATCCCAGGGTGGCCAAAGCGCTGTCCCCTGTCACTGGAAACAGAGACCCCGGTATAATACCTCCCACCACGCTGGAAAATCTAAAATGTAGTATGATCCCTCCTCAAGTCTAACAACCAGGCTCCGAGAAAATGTTATTTCACATTTTCTGAGTAGCCAACACAAGGCTGCCAGATAAAATGCAGGATGTATGTTCTGTGACATCTCTAAAACGTACTCAGAAAGTATTCATCGTTTCTCAAAAATTCAAATTTAACTAGGCATCCTGTATTTTCGTTTGCTGAATCTGGCAACCTTAGGGCTCCTATAACCTGAAAGAACCCTGCCCCAGAAAGTACCCACCCCCAGAGAGCAGAGATTTATTTACATAACTAAATCTTTACATAACCAAGATCCCTCAAAAGAAGCAGTAACAGCATCTGCAATGAGCTAGCTACTAGCCGATGACCCAAAGATGCTGCTGTCCACTGGCAATGGGCAGGGAAGACACTGGTTCATCATGCAAAAGACTAGGAAGGGGAAAGGGGGAGCAGAGAGCAAAATGGGACTCCAGACAGCTGGGTCGTATAATGGGAGCATCAAATATGAGAAGGGTGGAGGAGGGTAGAAAGGAGGTAGGCAATTCTAGAAGAAAAAGAGAAAGAAAAAAACAAACAATCAAACACTAACAACCCTTGCCTCTTGTCAAGGCACGTAGGCACTGTGACTTCCCTCACCGTGGGGCCTGCTGGTGGTGAGCAGGAGCGTGGTCACATAAGGCCAGGAAAACCATACCTCCACCAATTATCCATATCTAAGCAAACTTTTCCTTAGGGAAGGGGTTATTTAAATGGGTTCGTGTTCTGGTTTTCCCAAGCAAAAACAAAACAAAACAAAACAAACAAAAAAACCACTGGTATTCTTCTTCTGAAAACACTAACTGGTTTTGTTTTGCATGCCTGACTGCTTGCAGCCACCACCTCCCTTTGTGGAGGCGCAGGGGCCGCTAGGCCGGACGCACCTTTGCAGTGGACAGCGATCGCCCCGTCCGTGTTCTCACAGATGTTCAGGAACCTGCGCACGATGTTGTCACTGGGCGTGCTGCCGTCTATGAAGAAGAGGTCATAGTGCTCAAAGCCGGCATCTATGAAGCGCTTGGCCTCGTAAATCTTTTTGTTCAGCCTCACAACTGCAGTCACGTTATGCTTTTTGAAATAAGGAAAGTAGGCTTCAGGGGCGTGAAGAGGATAGCCTGTAGGGAAAACAGAGCTGTGAGCCAAAGGCACGCATTCCGCCTTACACACCCAGAAACACGAAAACCTGTCACTCTGAAGTTTATGAATCTCAGCAGAGCTTAGGAGGAAAGTGCATCTGCTGAGAGAGTAAGAGGAGGAAGCACATTTCTAAAGCAGCGGTCTGTAGAACTGTGACACACACGCACACGCACACACACACCCCACAGGAGGGGTAAAAAAACCTTCTCCGAGTATTGGAAATTGCTAAGGAAAATTCGAAACCTTGGGGACACCTGGGTGGCTCTGCAGTTGAGCATCTGCCTTTGGCTCAGGGCGTGATCGTGGAGTCCTGAGATCAAGTCCCACATTGGGCTCCCTGCAGGGAGGCTGCTTCTCCCTCTGCCTGTGTCTCTGCCTCTCTCTGTCTCTCATGAATAAATAAATAAAATCAGAAAGAAAAGAAAAAAGAAAAGAAAAGAAAGAAAGAAAGAGGAAAGGAAAAGAAAGGAAAGGAAAAAAAAGAAAAGAAAAAAGAAAAGAAAAGAAAAGAAAAGAAAAAAGAAAAAAAAAGAAAGAGAGAGAAACTTCAACCCATAGGATTCAAATTCCGGAAGAAACTCCTCCCAAGCCAAAACAAAGGCACTCAGGAGGCACTCAAAAAGGTGCCCAGGAGGGCTGGCATGACTCTTTGTGCTTTTTCTTCCACTTGACAAATAACTTTTCAACTACAGTTAAAGCCTTTTTGCCAGGTGATTAGTTTCAATCTATAGTGCAATCCCCCACAAAACAGAGTAAGAATTTTTAAGCACCTACCATGTGAAGTCACCATTATTTATCATTTAACTCCCAACACAGCCTGTGAAGGTAATAATAGCAAACCCCATTTAACAGATCGAGAAACTAAAAAAAGTTGAATAATTTTTTAGACCTTTCTTTTTTGTGGGGGGCAGGGGTAGAGGTGGTCAGCCCCTAAAATCCCTTCTCTTTCAGGTGGATCCAGCACCCTGTGAGCATTCCTGGATGCCACAGGGTCAGCTGGGTTACAGACATGTAACCTGGACTTTGCCAATCAACAGAAGTGACCACCAGAGGCTTTGACCACTGTAGACCTTGTCCACAGCCCCGGGGATTAAGAGGGGACCCTGACTGCCACATCTGTACCTTGTGCAGGGTTCATGGACTCCTGGCATCCCGCGTGAGACAATCTCATTCACAACTCTTTCGTGATGGTGGGTCCTATGCATATGGGCGGTGGTGGCCAGCAAAGTAAACCAGCAATTTCTGCACTGTGTCTTTGGCTGTATTTCCTGCTGCCTCAGACCCTGCACATGCGAGTCATTTCCTACTTTCTCTCTGCAGCAATCCAACCCTCTCGTGCTGGGGCCAGGGTCTGCAGAGGACATTTGCAGCTGGTGCTCGCTGTCCGTTCAAAACATAGGAGGCATAGAACACAACCAGAGTGACCAGAAGAGGCCAGAGGAAGGAAAAAGGGGCTTCTGTGTGGGGGCCAGCAAAGCTTCAGCAGCAGAAGACAGGAGCCGCCCAGCCGCCTGGTCTTGACTCCACAGCCCCCAAGTGCACACACCAGCTGGGCAGCATTCCCTTCAGACCCAATACCAGCCTGGCTCCCCGTGTTCCAGGCCCCAGATTCTGATAACCTCACTTTCTACCTTTCTTAAAGGCAGGCGCTTGTTTCCTCCATAATATTCTGGTTTCTTCAGTGTTGCTGTCTTCCTTTTTGGCCATCTCTGTAACAAATCCCTTGTATTGAATTCCCTCTGTTGGAAGTGGTGTGGCTGCATTTCACTGCCTGGACTCTGCCAAGATATCATCTCCTCCGGATCCTGTTCATTTTTTAGGCCTCCTTCTCCAGACTTCTCTAGGAGGCTGAGATTCCCAGCATAATTCCAATCAATGCTTTTTTGGTTTAATCTCCCTGAGCTGGTTCTGCTGCCTGCAACCAAGAGCCCTAACTGGTATACTGGGCCATGGCCACACAATGAATGGAGGAAGAAGTGGACGGCAGATCAAACTGCCCCACAGCCCAGACAAGATCTTCACGGACCATGCTGCTTCCAGGCAAACAGGTAACACAGAGCCTATTTTCAATCTTCTGTGGAGACACAGTAACTTATACACACAGACACACACACACAGACATACACACGCATTTAGAAAAAATGGATGCTTTTCTACTTCGGAAAAAACAAATGTGTTTTCCTTTTTAGCTCATATTATTTTCCAGCAACAGATTTACAATCTAAAGGAGAAAAGAGCTATGGTTGGTGATATGGGGAAGAATGGAAGAAAGAAATGTAGGTAAAATCAAGTTTATTTATAACCTGAAGCCCACAGACAGATACCTGAGACCGACAGAGTAAGACAGTCCTCCAGGAACTCCCAACTGTCTCAGTACTTTGCTAGAGGGAAAAACAACCTGAGCTCCACAATAACTAGGCCTCTAGCATCCTATAAGTCTTTAGCATATAAAAAATCCTCTTGGAAACTTCCTTTAGAGAAAAAATGAGTGGGAAATATCAGAAAGGGAGAGAGAACATGGAGGACTCCTAACTCTGGGAAATGAACTAGGGGCGGTGGAAGGGGAGGTAGGCGGGGGGTGGGGATGACTGGGTGACGGGCACTGAGATGGGCACTTGATGGGATGAGCACTGGGTGTTATTCTATATGTTGGCAAATTGAACACCGATAAAAAAATAAATTTATTTTTAAAAAAGAGAGACTCCCTTTATCTTTATCTCTCCCAATTCCAAAGTATCTAATCAATCAATCGTTCCTCAGGGGGTGGGGAGGGGGGTGGAGGGGGTGGCCAGATCTTTCTGCCCAGGGGTCCTGTCCTCATGCTATAATAAAAACACTTTTTGCACTGAAAATGTCTCAAGAATTCCTTCTTGACTGGTGGCTTATGGACTCCGCTCCAAACCACATCAGTTGGCATAAGGAAACAGAGTTTTTCTATCATGTAAGAATGGGAAAGAGAGGACTCCTAAACACATGGGAAGTCTTCCCCTGGTGTGGCAGGCTGATGAGCACCTTCTGACCCTGGGTTCCTAGCATACCTGGCACCTCTGTGATGGCACCTGTTTTCAGATGTGCTAATGGTTGGTGTGGCATCTATCCCCCCCACCCCCTCTACCAAGAAGAGGAGGAGGAAGAAACTTTCTTCTTATATATTAATTTCTATCAGGAGTAAATGGAATTATAGATAATATACCTAATTTAACTATTAAAAGAAACTATGTGTATATCTAGATTTTAAAAACCAATAACACTGGACAGTTATCCAAATATGACAATAGGACACCGAAATAATAACAAGAATAATAATGATCCTAGCTAACATTGACTAAGCACTTACCATGTGCCAAGGCACTAAACTAAATGCTTCATATGAATCATCTCGTTAAACCTTGCAATTACCCAGTTATTGCTGCCTAGAAAAGTAAACTAGCCCAGGCGTACACAGCTAGTGAGAAATGGAGGCAGCATGTGAACCCTGGTAGTCAGATTCCAGAGCCTGTGCTGGGGTGGATTTCAGTAAGATCCAGCTTGACTCCATCTGTTAGGTCTCCAAATAAAGGAACATTATGTGAACATTATGGGATACACTTCCAAGAGATAGTGAGAATTCTTTAAAATCCTCAAAACTGTCTCAAGTGAGTTATAACCAACGAGAATAATAATATCCTATGACCTCTGATAACTGGATGTTATCAATGCGTTTGGGACTGGTTTTAGCAACGTACAGAGCTTAGCATTCATCAGCCCCTTCCTCCATTTGGCCACTAGAATGCGCCCTAGCATCAGTAATCCCGGCGGAGCCCAAGACCTGACCTAACCAGAGACAGAATTTCAGAGCCCAGAGATTTAAAATTCCTCTCTTCCCAACCCCTCATTTAAAGTTAGGACACTGAAAAAAATAATAATAATAATATTAGGACACTGAAAAACACCAGTGAAATGACTAGTCACCCAGTCATTATTAAGAGTAAAAACTTGGGGCGCCTGGGTGGCTCCCTCGGTTAAGCATCTGCCTTCAGCTCAGCTCACCGTCCCAGAATCCTAGGAAAGAGCCCCAAGCTGGCATCCCTACTCAGTGGGGAGTCCGCTTCTGCCCTTCCCGCCTCATTCCTGCTAGCTCCAGCTGGCTGGCTCGCTCTCTCTCTCTCTCTCAAATAAATAAACACAATCTTTCTAAAAAGAAAAGTAAAAACTTCAAAATGGGCAGGTAAATGTAGGAAGCAAGAAAATATATTTAGGCTCATTAATGAGAAAAATGTTATCAGGTTATCTGCTATCTAAGAAGCACCTATTATTATGTGCCTGACACTGTGCAAGACACTTCATAGCATCTCTGATCTTCACTAGATGCCTGCATTGTACATCCTACTTCCCCAGCTCCCATCCCCATTGACATACAAAGAAACTCATGCTCAGAGAAGTTGTGGAGCCCTAGGAAGTTCACAAGACCAATAAGGGGCAGAGTCAGGTTCCACTGCCCAAGCTCAGCACACCAGCTTCTCTTAACAGGCTTCAAACTGTTGCCATTCCTTATCTCCAGCCATCTTTTTGGTGTTTTCTTTCTCTCTCTCTTTCTTTTTTTTTTTTTTAAAGAGAGAAAGGCATTGCCATCTCTGAGTTTGCGGGATTTTTTGGAAAACTGGAAATCCAAAATATGTTTCATTCTACTATTTTATTATTTATGTATCAATTCAAACTTATTTAACCAAAAAAAAAAAAGTGGGGTTCTTCTCTTCTCCACCATCAAAACAATGTGAACCAAGATCATTGTAACAAGCAACTTGCTCGGTGTTGATATATCACACACCTAAGACTCTTAAAATGCATTCTGCCTAAGATTTCACGACTTCTTTTGCTACATCCTTGCAACAGCTTTTTGAGTGTTAATTTCTGTAAAATCTACCTTTTCTATTAACAAACCCCTAACACAATTTTCAGCCTCCTCAGAAAACAGTTTCTCAATTAAAAAAAAAAAAGCACCTAGATTTCACTGTAATTGGATCAAGTTTATTAATTCCATCACACAATTATTTTCTTAAGCTCAAAAAAGATGTACAAAGTTAAAGCCCTTTTACAAAAAATATGATGAAGCTTCTAGTGACTATCAGATCTTAAAACAGGGAGTCCAATAAAAGATCAATATTTACTAATGACAGCCTTAAGTGAGATTGTTCTAGACATCATAAAAACCAACAAATTCTAGGTAAGTAGCCCTTTCAGACTTTTTTTTCCCTCAATGTAAGAAGGCACAATAGATGCATAGGGAAAAAAAAAATGCATTTGGAGCAGTATCTTAAGTGTTTATTTCTAGATTATGTAATTATAGGGTGGCTTTTTCTCTATATTGCTTAAATTTTCTATAGTGAACATGTACTTCCTCTGTATTAAGATGAAAAATAAGACAGAATTTGGAATCAGAGAGACCTGTGTTTGAATCCATGTACTGCCATTTTCTAGCCATGTAAATCTGGGCAAGTGAGGCAATTCCTCTGAACCTCTTACCTTGTCTTCCATAAAATAACTACCACCTCCCCTAGAGAGTGGTTCTGATTCTTAAAGAAATGGTATGTGCACAAAAGGCTTATTAGCCCCATTCCTGGCATACAGGCAAATGTAGCTATAGTTATTTCCCAATATTGTAATTTTTAAAGATTTTTGACAATTAAGAAGTTACAATCTTCCCACTATAAAATAAACAAGACACTGATATGTAATTATACCGTATAGGGAATAAGTCAATAATATTGAAATAACTACACATGACAGATGGTAACTAGATTGAATGTAGTGACCATGTTCTAATGTACAGAAATATCCAATCACTATGCTGTACACCTAAAACTAATACAATATTAAAGGCAACTGTTCTTCAATTAAAAAAAAAAGAATTGTCACACAAAATATTCGAGCCTTTTATCCAATGATTCTACTACTTAAGAATTTAGAGAAGAAAGGAGAACTACAAAAAAAAATGTGAACATTTGCCAACCATGAAAAAATGAAAAACTGTAAACAATGTAGATCTCATTCAGAAAGTAACAGCATTATAGCACATCACAGAATAATATAATGCAGTCATGGAAAAGTATAATGAAAACCTACATTTACTACCATGGAAAGAAGTCTGTGACATGTTAGGTGAAAAAAGCTGATATAAGACAGTAATCATGGGGTGCCTGGTGGCTCAGTCAATTAAGCGGTCAACTCTTGATTTGGGGTCAGGTCATGATCTCAGGGACCTGGGAGCAAGCCTCACATCAGGATCTGTGCTCAGCAGAGAGTCTGCATGAGATTCTCCCTCCCTCTCCTGTCCCTCTCCTTGCTCGCCCTCTCTCACTCTCTTTCTAAAATAAAGAAGTAAATCTTTTTAAAATAAAAAGATAGGGCAGCCCCAGTGGCGCAGCAGTTTAGCGCCGCCTGCAGCCCAGGGCGTGATCCTGGAGACCCTGGATGAGTCACACGTCAGGCTCTCTGCATGGAGCCTGTTTCTCCCTCTGCCTGCGTCTCTGCCTTTCTCTCTCTCTGCATTTCTATGAATAAATAAATAAAAAATCTTTAAAAAAATAAAATAAAATAGATAGTAACCATGATGCTATGCTTATAAAAAAAGAAAGGTTTGTATGTGCATGTATGTGTGTGTGTGTTCACTGGAAAAGGAAAAAAAAAAGTGTGCACACAAATACAAAGAAGCAGATGGAAAGAAAATTAAATCCCCCTATAATCCCACCACAACCACTAACCCTAGAAAACTTGGGTAGAATTATAAGTAATTTTTATGTGCTTTTTATTAATTCATCTGTATTTTAATATAATCATGTATTACCTCTCTAAAAATACTTTAAATGATTCTTTAAATTACACCTCTCATCTTCTCTTTAAGAAAATGTCATAAAACACAGGAACCCTAAATGGCAAAATTCTTTCAACTTCATCAAATGAACACCCACCAACAAAGCCACTACTGAAACTACACACCCACTGAGATTTCCGAGGTCTGAGTCAGATCACTTTGCATAGAAGGCCAAAGGTAAATTTAATCAATCCTGTCTTGAAAGACCAACTGCCAGAAAGCAGTTTCCTTGGGCACTTAACATGGTACTCCTGACAACCCAACATGGGAGAGGTTAATCAATGTCTGGAGCAAAAGAGATTCATTAACAATTTCATGAATGAGAAGATGTAATTCTGGCTTCAGTACAGAGTCTTCCTATTTGGTAGCTTAACTCTCTAGACTTGCATTACCCATTACAGGAAACCATGCTTGAAGCAGAGTTCCCTGGAACATATGCTATATGCATGAACTGATACACACATTTGTGGAAGCTCAAACAAATCAGTAAATCTGAATGCATGATTAACAATATACAATGAAACTAGATTTTCAAACTAATACTTAGGATGATGATGGTGATAAAAGGAGAATAACCCTAAACTCTGGGTTTCAGATGTTTCCTCAAAAGACTGATGTTCCAGTTCTATGACTAGATAAAGAGCAATAAAAAGAAACTATTATATTCATAGGTAAAATTTTTAAATTTTATGTGCTGCTCCCATAAATTATACTTAAGCCTTGGGTGACTATCATTACTTGTCTTCTAGGAATGTTGGCAGGTGAAAATAAATAAAAAGAGAAAATAAATATTACTGTGAAAACTCACATAGCTGATTATGTTTCATTCAAGAGGCTTTTTTTGTTTTGTTTTGCTTTTTTTTTTTTTTGTCTTCCTGAGTATGTATGCCCCTGGCTATACACATACTGCAAATGAGTAATTTAATCACTGTCAGCTAGAAAGGTATTCTAGTCATAATGGAGCTAAATAGATTAGTATGGTAGCAATGTTTAGGAGCTCAGGTCTGGGATGGAGTACCAGTTCCCCCTACTACTCTGGGTAAATTTCCTACTCATAAAAGCCTCAGTTTCTTCTTCTGCAAAATGGAGATAACTGTATCTAAATCTCATAGAGGTGCATATTAAATGAGATAGTATAGTGCTTAGGTAGTAACTATGTCATCACCATCATCATTGTTATTGTTCCACATGATGTTCCCCAAAGAATACTCTGATACAGCACTTTGCCACCAAATAAATCTCAGAACCACTGACAGAATTCAACAATCTGCTTATGAGGTTGACCAGTTGCTTCTCAGATTCTTCTTTGATAACTGGGTCAGGTAAAGTGCCTATTTATGCATTTTAAAATTTAAATTTTTTCTAGTTTTAAAACAGGATTATAACTTTACCTACTAAACTATATTTAACACACTAATTACTACTGTTCAATTTTTTAATTAATAAATATTCTCTGGAGACTATTACCAAAAGAAAGGATTATCTGAGGAAATTAAGAAATTAAAGATGAACTGAAATAAATTTTTGGATGGTAAAGTAAAGAAAAACCTACCATTTTCAATTTTGCTTTTTGGATGTGGTCCACTAAATGCTAAAAATTTTCCTGGAACAATCCAGTTGAAGTCACCATTTTCAACTCGCTGGTAGAATTTTGTGAGAAAAGAGAAGAAAAATATTTTATAATTCTTATACAATTTCGGAAACCCTTACAAATAAAACTGCTTTTCACTCTGTTAGTACTATTGAATGTATGTGACGACAAAGTAATATAGCTTAAAATAAAAACATGCATCTGATTCTCAAACTGATATTTCAATCTGTTTCAGAAAATGTTTTATTATCTATGAAAAGTTTAGAAAACTTTATTTAAAGTAGAGGTACTTTGCTTAAAATAATTTTGTCTCCTGGCTACTCTGCAATGCAATGAAATGAAAACAAATATTACTTGTCTCTGCAATAAATAAAGGGAGAGAAGATAAAAGAAAATATAAGCACTTTTCATGAACATGGTAAACATATTTTAAAGAATGAAAAAAATCTATAAATGTCAGGGTCTTAATGAACACACTTCCATTTTTTTTTCCTGTTTGTATAGGTTACTACTATTGTCAGTGTTGATTTTAGACTGGGTGTGAAAGAGGCAGGAGTGAGGAACAAAGTCATCAAACCCTCGAGGTACCCCACAAACTTGAGTCAGCCAGTCTCCCACAGGGGTTGCAAACCCAAACAGCTACACTAGTCAGGAGAGAGATATAAACGCAGGCAGGTGACTCTTCAGCTCTGGTTAGAGTCACCCTGCAGGAAAGGATAACTGAATGTGGCTGACCTTCTGAATGGGTTTTCACATGAATCTCTTTATATTTGATGTTGACTACTTTAAGTTTTTAAATAAGATGAAACCAAATAAAACACACCAGTTGTCAGCCTCTGGTCTACAGTCCCTAAAGGATCCTCAGAAAACCTCTGAAGACCAGGGAAGGGGCCTAGCATCCTCCTACTGCTCCATTATCCTCTTCCTTGCTTCCCTTCCTTATGTGCCTCTAAACCCATGGAACACTGGGGCAGGGCTGAAGGTACCCAAGATTTGCAGAGAGTTGGGACACATCTGTGCAATGCATCATAAAATATGTGTCACTTCTTCACATAAGCATTCTTTAGCCCACTCACAACCCACCCCTACCCTACCATGAGGCCCAGCTTCTAGACTCTATTTCTACCCTCAAGGCTCTCTAGCACTGTACAGATACCTCCTCAAGCTGGGAAGAAAGGCAGTTCTCTACTGGATCAAGAATATCCATTAAAAAGGCTTTCTTCTCCACCACTACATGGCACAGACCCCAAAGGTAGGAATATGTATCAAATACAGTCTGCATCCTACTTGTTAAGAGCACTAAAGTAGTTGTTAAATTAATTGGAGTAATGCCATCAAGGAAATTAGAGCCTTTAATTACTTATACTACAATTATCATTTCTAATTTTCATGAAAATCAAAACTTAGCTGTACAATTTCTATGTTTAAAATGAGATGTTTCTTTCCACTTATAATAAGTTATAAGTGAAACCTTACATGACACATTATAAATGCCTGAATTGCATTAATCTAACTATAATAAATATAATATCCCCATAATGCCAGAAATAAAATCTTAGAGCTACTGAATGTTATGATTACACATGCCAAATTATATCTCAGGCATAACTATTCATAACAATCTGATTAAAGAATCTAATATATAACTCTTTGTGACACTTAAGCTTTTTCCTGTTGAAAGAAAGCAGTCTCTAATGGTTCAATGTCCCTCTTAAGTAATTAATAAGCTTAAAACATCATTTAAAAATTCAAAAATAAAGGTATCCTCTAATCAGCAAAAGGCTAAAGGCAATTCTTTCTGAACAATAAAAGAAAGCAGGTTTCTATGTTCACTCTTTCTGTATCCTTGACCACTAAGTAAGCCTAGATAAATTTATCGTACTATGTCTGTTTATTTGGATTACAGACATCCATTTGGTTAAATAGTAACCTTTTATAATCAATCATATGGAGAAAGGCAGTGGATTCACTAAGATACATTCACTCACAAAACCAAAAAGAATATGTTTGCAAATCTGTCTACACAAAAAGATAAACAGCAGATCACACTGGACTATATTCAGTAGCTTAGATAAGCTTGATGGAGTAAACAATGAGATTTGGGTCTTAAATCTAAACCTGAAAAAAATTAGTAAGAAAGCTATAGCTTTCAACTGACTAATATAACATAAGCTTACTTCAGTTAAGTTTCCCAAACTAATGTGTGCCTTCTTTCACAGTGAATTAAACAAATGTCAGTATTTATCAATAATAAAATATTTAAGATGATACAAATTGGTTTTCTAATTAAATACACAAACACACTTCACAGAAATCTAGATAGGACAGGAACCAAAGGTACTCCCCAACCCTACCACACTTTACAAACAAATGTCTCAGCAAACATGAGGCAAGAAGATGGTTTTACTCTTACATTCCAAAGCCTACTGTACTGCCTATCAAGTGCTACGTAGGAAAACTGTACATGTTCTTCACTATAAGAAAAAAATAATAAAACCTGAATTCCTTGGGCGCCTAGGTGGCTCAGCTGGTTAAGCATCTGCTTTCAGCTCAGGTCATGGTCCCAGGGTCTTGGGATCAAGCCCAGTGTCAGGCTCTCACTCAGCAGGGAGTCTGCTTCTCCCTCTCCACCATTTGTGTTCCCTCTCCCTATCTCTGTCACTCTCTCTCTCAGATAAAAAAGCTTTAAAAATCTTTAAAACTTTTTTGAATTCCTGAAACGAATATATTTAAGTGTTAATACTCACTTTACTATAGAATTCTTCAGTCTAGAGAGACTCCTAACTCTGGGAAACAAACAAAGGGCTGCGGAAGGGGAGGAGATTAGGGGGATTGGGGAACTGAGTGATGGGCACTAAGGAGGGCACGGGAAGGGATGAGCATTGGATGTTATATTACATGTTGGCAAATTGAATTTAAATACAATATTTTTTTAAAAAAGAATTCTTTAGTCTACAAAAGATTCACCAGATTTCTTTGAAATAGCTAAAGAAATCAAAGTGCTTACAAAGTAAATAACAGTATTAAAACTGAAAAAAAAAGTAAACACAATCTGACTTGAAAACAAATTTTTACAACTTCTAAGAGAAACATCTATGCCAATGAAGTATGCTTGTGTTGTAATGGTCACAAATGCCTGTGATGCAATGGGACTGTAATGGTTTTTCAGTCCCAATACTGAAAAACATTTGGCTTTTTACCATTGTAATAAACAGACAGTAACACAGAAAAGACAGACCTTGAGGTTAACAATTACAGGATTGATTCCCTTTATCAAGAGATACGTTTTCTAAGACAATACAGACAGTGTTTAAATACAATTCGACATTCCTTAAAACATTTGCTGAGCCTTTATTATAAATCAAGGACTATAACTTAGGTGTCACACAAAAAATAATTAAAAATATTTTCTCTGTGCTCTTAAGGAATATGAAAGCAAGTTGGAGTGATGACTAACAGTAATAATAATAGATGCAAATACATATAGAACACTGACTCTATGCGAGGCACTACTCTGTTACATGCAACTCATTTCATGCTTAAGGCAACCCTCTGAGGTGGGTCCTATTAGCTCCATTTTATACCCATTGCTATAGACAGAATTTGTGTCCTCTCAAAATTCGTATGTCAAAATCTAATCCCCAGTATGATATTTGGAGGTCGCCTTTGGGAGGCGACAAGGTCATAAGGATGGAACCCTTAAAGGGTTAAACCCTTAAAGGGATAGTAACCTTAAAAAAAGACCCCCAGAGAGCTCCTTGCCCTTCTACAATGTGAAGACAAGGGAAGTATATGGCTATGGAACAGGGCTACCAACGACCAAATCTGCTGGTTCCTTGACCTTGGATTTCTCAGTCTCCAGAACTATGAGAAATAAATGTTTGTTGTTTAAGGCACACAGTCTCTGGTATTGTTACAGCAGCCCAAACTAAGATATCCATTTAAAGAAAAAAAAAAGTTGCATTACACTTTGAAAAGAGCTATAATAGGGCAGCCCCGGTGGCTCAGCGGTTTAGCGCCACCTTCGGCCCAGGTTGTGATCCTGGAGACGGGGGATCAAGTCCCACATCAGGCTCCCTGCATAGAGCCTTCTTCTCCCTCTGCCTGTGTCTCTGCCTCTCTCTCTCTGTGTCTCTCATGAGTAAATAAATAAAATCTTTAAAAAAAAGAAGAAGAAAGAAAGAAAGAAAGAAAGAAAGAAAGAAAGAAAGAAAGAAAGAAAGAGCTACAATAGAAGTATATAAGAGGTTTAACTATTTGAGAAATCAAAATGAATCATAAAATCTTTTTATTCATTAAAAAGTATCTTCCCTTTATTTCCCTCATTTCTAAAACAATAAAATAGTGTTGATGGTATAGTTGTATTATATAAATGCAAATATGCTGCAGTAATTGGCACTTTGTATATTTAAAGCAGAGTAAATATTTGAGTTACTTGGCTTAAAATTCCATGCCATCTGGCTTTAAATAATCAAACTCTAGATTATTAATTCAGATTTGCCTTTGAGAGCAAGTGTGGTGGAGGGAGAAAGGAGGTCCCCATGTGGATGATTGGTTTGCCTCTGCTAGCTCCAGCTGGGGTGGGGATATTTGGGTGGTAGAAAACACTTAGGAGACTGCTCCAGCAGCTCAGAGCAGCACAGCCTCTGCTAATGCAACTCCAGGGACCCAGGGTACGTTTGCAGGTGCCACTGCTCAAGATATGACAATTTGAGACCACAAACACATGTATAATTGTTGAAACTTGGAAGCAGATGCCCTCACTCATGGAGAGTGGCCACAAACCAGAGCCCTAGAGAAGAGCGGGCTTCAGGTGCACAAAAGAGAGAAAATGCTCGCAAAGGAGACTGAGAAAGAAGGCCAGAGAGCAAGGAAGAGAAAAGCATAAGATAGAACCTTAGGAATTAGGGAAAGAAAGCAAGCATCCAGAACTAGAGTGGCCACAGAACAAATCAAATAAGAAGAGGGTCAAACACAACCATGTGGTTTGCTGGCTCTTCTGTAAGCACAGAGAGTTTCATAAAACTTACAGAGGTAAAGGCCAGCCCA